TACTCAAAAGACGCGAAAGCAGGGATTCAAACAGATATGTGTACACCCGTGATCATAGCTGCATTATTCACAATAGTCAAAAGATGGAAATAACCCAAGTGTTCATCAACACAAGAATAAACAAAATGTGGTATATACATGCAATGCAATATTATCCAGCCTCAAAAAGAGTGGAAGTTTTTACACATGGTACAATGTGGATGAATCTTGAAAACATACTAATTGAAATAAGCCCATCACAGAAGGGCAAATATATATAATTTCATTTATATGAGGTTCCTAGAGTAGTCACATTTATAGAGAGACAAAAGTGGAATGATGGTTACCAGGGGCCTGAGGGAGAGAAGAATGTGGAGTTAGCATTGAATGGATACAGTTTCGTTCGGGGAAAATGAAAAAGGTCTAGAGACTGATGGCAGCAAAGGATATACACCAACATGAGTGTACTTAATACCACAGAACTGTACCCTTAAAAATGGCTAAAATGGTAAATTTGATGTTATGTATACCTTATCCCAATAAAACCACAACAAAACAACACAAAATAACAAATGTTGGGGAGGATGTGGAGAAATTGGAACCCCTGTGCACTGTTGATGGGATGCAATGTGGTGCAGCCACTGTGGAAAACAGTAAGGCAGTGCCTCGGAAAGTTAAAAATAGAACTACCCTATTATCAGCAATTCCACTTCTGGGTATATATATAAAAGAATTGAAAGCAGGCAATTCCCATATCGATTAATGAGTTGGATATGATAATTTTCATGAGTTCATTTTGTTTGAAAAAGGATCATGATATATCTTTTTTAAAAAATACACTTTAACAAATAAGACTATTTTGTTCTCACGAATCATCAACACAATGCAACTTCTTTAAAGACTGTCTTGTAAGCATTAGGTTTATGAACTATGAGAACAAGGGGGCGCCTGGGTGGCTCAGTCGGTTAAGCGTCTGCCTTCGGCTCAGGTCATGATCCCAGGGTCCTGGGATCGAGCCCCACATCGGGCTCCCTGCCCAGCGGAGAGCCTGCTTCTCCCCTCCTTCTCCCTCTTCACCCCTCCCCCTGCTCGTGCTCTCTCTCACTCTCTCTCTCTCTCTCTCAAGTAAAATCTTAAAAAAAAAAAAAGAATTGAAATCAGGGACTCAAACAGATATTTGTACACCTATGTTCATAGCCTACGCTCAATAGCCAATACATGGAAGTAACCTATATGTCCGTTGACAGATAAGCAGATAAAATATGGTATGCACACATAATGGAATATTATTCTGCCTCAAAAACGAAGGAAGTTCTGGCAGAGGCTACAATATGGAGGAAACTTAAAGACATTTATGCTAAGTGAAATAAGCCAGTCACAAGAAGACAAATACTGTATAATGCCACTTACATGAGGTAAATGGAATAATGAAACTCAGAGGACAAAAAGAATGGGAGTTGCCAGGGGCTGGGATCAGGGAGGAATGGGGAGTTCTTCAACGGTTATGAAAAATTCCTGGAGATTGGTTGCCAAACAATGTCAATATACTTGACCCTGCTGAACTATACACCTTAAAATGATTATCATGGTAAATTTCGTTATGTGGATTTATTTACCACAATTAAAAATTTGTTAAAAAAAATACATGTGATAGAACTGCCAATAAATTTTGGAAAACTAAAAATATGAGAGAATTCTAATAAATCTGGATTTCTGGAACAAGATGCTGGAGCACTATCCATTGTGATAGAAACTAATATTTTTCATATCTGGCTGAAATTATTTAAGAGATGTAAAAGATTTTTAAAATATTTGCACTATGAGCTTCATTATTTACAACTCTCAAATTGATATTTCTTTGTAAAGCTGGAAATCCAACACAAAATTATCCAAAATATTAACTGTACTGCCTATAACATTGCAAACTCATCTAAAAGTAAAGAAAAGTACATGAAACCTTCAAATTTTGAATCAATCGATTTTTATATTCTTAGGAAGTTTGGGTATTGTACAGGCAATGGTTTGGTGCCTTAATTGAAGATCTTTCTTCAACTTGTAAAATATCATTTTTAGGCTTTCCCTCATAATTTAGTAACAAAATTTCCCCAACTATAATAATTTTTGTTTAGCATTTCACCATCTAAAAACGGTTTTCTTTTCTTGTGCAAGAATCCAAGGCATTTTACAGAAGTCTAAATTTACAAGCTCAGATTCTGTTAAAAATCCTTTAGAAATGTTTTTTCGTCATTAAGTTCTGATGTCAGACAATTTTACTGATTCTTTTTTGACTTTTGTGTAGAAACTCTTTATCAAAGAAAGAGAAACTATTAAATTCACTATATATTTGCTGAAAATGTCTCTTAACGTTGTTTACAATCTTTAATATTTCTTTATTAGAAGGAAAAATAACTTTAGATTTTGCTCTGCGGTGGCAAATGATAATTGCCATCCATTTTGAAAGTGGAGACATACTCTTTTGTCTTATTTTTCCCTTTACTGATCTGGTGTAATACTGCACCTCCACTCAATTTTGCATCACTACTATGCCGTCATTTAACTTAAAAAATTATCTATACTTAATTTGTAAGCTAACAAATAATTAACCGAAATAAATATTTTAATTTAAATACCAACTATGATTTATATGGGTACTACTGTAATTCATGCTGTCTGCATAAAATGCTCAAACATATTACTATGTTACATCAGTGAATAAAAGAAATAATTACTCAACCTAAATGAAATCTGCTGACATTGACTAGACAGGTGACGTATTTTCATGCAATATTGGAAAAAATCACATATGCCCTGTATGTGAAATATAACAGCACAGCAATATCTTACATAATGCAACAATTCAAGTGACATACAATCTTACCAAAACAATGAAGTTGTGTTTAGGGGAAAGGTATTTTTTTACACTGTCTTAGTTTATAAATCAAAAATAATTTAAATGAAATTCAAATTTCAGTTCCTCAGTAGCTACACTTCAAGGGCTCAGAAGCCTTATACTGAAAAGCACTGATCTAGATTTCAGTGAACTTTTTCACTAGTTGCTTTATACAATTGGTAAATCACTGTAAACACAAAGTTAATAATTTCATTCAGTTGTAGGGCGCCTGGGTGGCTCAGTCATTGGGCGTCTGCCTTTGGCTCAGGTCATGGTCCCAGGGCCCCAGGATCGAGCCCCACATCGGGCTCCCTGCTCAGCGGGGAGTCTGCTTCTCCCTCTCCCACTCCCCCTGCTTGTGTTCCCTCTCTCGCTGTGTCTCTCTCTGTCAAATAAATAAATAAAATCTTAAAAAAAAAATTTCATTCAGTTGAAACATTTCCCATTGGTGGTTGTTAGAGTATCAGCAACCATATGCCACAGGTTCATCCTTCTCCTGTACTTTATCAGGGTAAAAACACCAAAATTTGGGGAAGTAAGGATAAAAATTGGGTGACCATAAGTCCTACTTGCCTAGGGCAGTCCAGTTATGCCTGTTTCCCAGGTTAATTATTTCCAAGTTAATTATTAATGTCATTTCATTTTCAAAAATTTCTCATTTTGGATGACAAATACTGCACATGTTCCAGACATAATGCAAAGTACTTTAAAATCTCTGCTAGGCAACAAGCACTGTATATTCAGTAAGCTTCAAAATCCAGTTAATACAGATAGTTTCCACGAAACTATTTGAGACAGCCCATGAGGACAGAGAACCAAGTAGCCTTGCTACCTGATAGCACTTTGCCAAGAACACATCCAAAGAGGAATATCTAGATCGTGACTACACAGGTTATCAATGTTTTACCTAAGCACATTAGCAAATTTCTCTCTCTTCTTTGGTAGAAAACCTTGGTAATAATGTTTTAAAATTTGCTTTTTGCCTTCACTAAAGAGCACAGATATTATACCAAGTATAATACAAACCTAGACCAAAAGGGGAGAAGTCCAGTTTCCATAAATTAAAGCTTTCGATAGAAAGTACATTTTAAAAAATAAATGTAGTTTAAAACTTGCAAATCTAGATACTTGGTAGCAAGTTGTTAAATTATTGCACTGGAGACTAGCCTACCAAAATATAGAAGAGAGACATATCACTTATTTGCATGTAAATTATTTCTCTAAGTTGCTGGTATTAGTTAGTTCTCTTAAGTGAGGAAATCTAATATACATTAAAGATTAGCTATATGACTGGTATTCTACTAACAAAGCATCATATCACATTTATCAAACTTTAAGTTTTATAACAACCCTAAGAAGTAGCTATATTATTCATAGTGTAGGTAGAGAAACTGATGTTCGGAGAGGGGAAGTAACTTCCTTTAAGTCACAAAGCTCGTGGGTGGCAGAGCTGGACATTTTATAAACTCTGCATAATGTCCCTCTAGGCATAAGGTACAAGGCTCATGAGATCCATAAGTCATGTTTTGGGAGAGAGAATGTTTGTAGTGACCTCAGTGGCTCCCTGGTTTCTTACTTTTCTAGAAAGAACTTAAGAGTCCTGGCTTCCCAGAATTTAGGATACTCCCCAAACTCCCATTTCTATATGCAATAAAATCTAGACGCTGAGAGGCTGGATAAAAGTTAAATTATCCAAGTTTTCTAATCTCCTCATCCATCCCCCTTCCTTCCCCCAAACCCAACAACCTTTAACCATACTTTAAACAAGTGTTAGTCCAGGGACACCTGGGTGGCTCAGTCAGTTAAGCATCTGCCTTTGGCTCAGGTCATGATCTCAGAGTCCGGCATCTGGCTCCCCGTTCAGTGGGGCATCTACCTCTCCCTCTGAGCCTCCCCCTTCTCATGCTCTCTCCCTCTCTTTCTCTCTCACACACTCTCTTGCAAATAAATAAATAAAATCCTTAAAAAAAAAACAACAAGTGTTAGTCTGGTAAGAATATCATTACATCATTAATTCAGGTATCAATTAACTTGCAGTATGTGATAAAACTTTTGGAACTGGGCTTAACAATTCTATAATGGAGACATCAAAGAGGGGTTTGTGCTATAAAAGAGGGTAGTTGGAAAAGTATGAATCTGGGAATGAAGCAGGAATGAATCAGAATCTTGACTGCCTATTATACATGGTGTGTCCTTAGAGAAGTTAATTTCTCAAAGCTTCGGTTTTCTTCCCTGAAAATGGTAATATTCCCTAACTCACAGAATTATTTAAACAGTCAAGTGCTATCACCTCCTGCAATTTTAATAGTATTAACATCTCCTTTTATATGTAGATCCCAAATGTCCTACCTTCTCAAAGTGATGTCTTTCGTTTTAATTCTTGGGACTACTCAAGGTGCCTTTCGATATCGAAGAGCTAGGAACCCTGAAGCGAACATGAACATTGTAAGTTGCTAGGAAATAAATGCTAAGCTGCCGAAATAACAGGGAATGCTACTCTTTAACTGGGAAGGGGGGAGCTTTTATTTTAATAGGTCTGCGGTCTATATATTCATTTACTATTCTGTAGCTCAGTTTCCCCTTCACCCTTATTTTGTTCCTGGAAAAATATATATATACATACATTTAAATACCTTTATGGAGGACTTATAAATTCTCTTTTGTATACATGTCCACACATACAAATTCCAGATATAAGCTTAGCTATAACCATAGACATGCAAACATTTGTGGATAAATATATATTTTTAAATTGTATATGGCTGAGTAGGTAAAAGTTTGAGTGATTAGTAGTTAGGAAAAAAGTAATGTATAAGACTAATGCTTAGTAGATGTTCTAAAATATCTATTACTGAATCAATCAGTGAACTAGTAAGAAGAAATAGTCCTGAGGTTGAGAGACAATACAAAGGTCCATTATTACATTAATAGGTTAGATTATTATCAGGTTCCATTAACTGACCAGAAATCGTATCCTAAAAGGCTTCCTTTTTCTTTATGTAGAGCCAGATTATTTCCTATTGGGGCTACCCAGATGAAGTATATGATATTGTAACTGAAGATGGTTACATCCTTGGCCTTTATAGAATTCCTTATGGGAAGACAAACAATGACAGTTCAGGTAATATTCAATTCAGAGAAATTTGGTTACTGGGCCCTGAAGGCCTTAACTCTTCCATTTCTTCTTAGTGAGTTTCAGACAAGAAAAGGATTTAAACATTAAGCGTATAGTTAACTTCTCCTACATGTCTCTATATGTCACTAGAAGAGAGCCAGGTGCTCCCCTGGCTTCCTGTTCACAAGGTGGTTTTAGAGTGTGATGGAAATTAAGCTGTTCCAAGTGTTCTTTGTGGGTCACTTTACTCATTTCTGTTGATTCTCTCCAATCTCTTTGTTTCAGGAGGGGTTAGAAATGGTAACATGGTAACATAGGTTTAAAAAACAGCTGGTAAAAACGTCCTTCCTTGTCTTTATGGCTGTCTCTTCTAGTAATAACAAAGAGATCAGGTTGGTAGCAAACTCTGGTTCTTTAACCCAACAGTAGGTACATCATTATCCACAAATGAGGTGAAAAAAATAAAGCACTTGAATTTGTCTCTAGGGTTATAATCCTGTATCAGCCACTTACTAGCAGAATCTGTAATGGATTACTTTTCCTTATTCATCTAATTGCTCAAATAAAAGCCAGCCTTTTTTTTTTTTTTTTTAGTTTTCTCTTTAGATTTTCTCCCTGAAAAGAATGTTTCTCATATTATAAAATACCCTCTCAAGTTCTCATTTTAAACATTAAAGTATATTTCACGGAAAATACTAATTTGAAACAACCTCAATCAATGTAATTTTGGATCCTTATAAAGGTCAGAGCTACTAGACAGAAAATGTTAACATATATTTAACATAATTATAGTAATCATTTTTCACGGTATGACCTAATATCATGAATACTGTGATAAAATATTGAAAGGTAATTTAAAAATATAGTAAGTGCTTCAGAGTTGTCTTGAAGCAGTGCTGGAGACAGGGAGTCAGGAGCATGTGATTTATTGCTGGCCTACGGTCAGGAGAAGGTCATGTGGAAATCAGGGGAGGGCAGGGGAAGGAGCTAAGGAAGGATGTGGCTCAGCTAAGTCCAGCTGGAGTCTGATCTCAGGGGAGCGCATGGATCCAGGAACTGCAATACCGAAGTGGTCCTGCCCTGAAGTTGGGCAGCTAGCCTTTTGCATTGTCTCAGCAGTTAGTCATTGCTTAAGGCTTCTCGTAGAAAGAGGTGTATTCTCATAGGTGAGGCAATTGCCATTTGCCTGGGGGGCAATCCTACAGAGAGAGGGGCAATATGAACACTTAGAAAGCAACACCCACAACAGCTAGGAGCATGCTCCACCTGCTTAGGAAAGGAAGTCTAGGTGGGGCACCAAAATAACAGAGTGCACTTCTTGCATTACTCAGATCCATTTGTTTTTCACATGAAGCTTATTTCATCCAGGTACAGGTTTTCCAGAACTTGGGTAGGTCAGAATACCTGGGGAAACTTGCAAGAGGAGGGTGAGTGGAACAGAGTATGACATCTGCCATTGCAACTGATCCTAACGCCATGGCTGGTACTCATAAATTCTGACCTCTACTACCCACTATAGAATCCTCTCCCTTTCAGCCATGTCTCCTGATGTGGCAAGCCAGGCCCTTATCCTGAAGGGCTACTGTGCCCAAAACAGGTCATGGTTGCAGTACTTGTACATTTTACAGGTAAAGTAAGGCATGGGAGTAACAAAAGATGTCCCAGTGAATCATGTGAATGCCAAATATGGTTTTCCATCTTCATTCTGTATCAGAGGCCCTACCTCGTCATGGTGATCAGGGCCAATTATTCCTGCCAACATAGCAATTCTTTTCTTTGCCACCCCGCCCCGCCCCACAGTATTCTATCATGAAGAGCCCAAAGTCTAGCCAGCCAGCAGTCATAGCTTTATTATTAGTTACCGCATGAACTAGTGGAAGTGTTTTCTGTCTGGAAATGAGGACCTCTAGTCTATAGAGCCTTAAATTGTGAGGACAGAAAGTATAAGCCTTGGAGTGAATTACTGGGTGATAGTGAGTCTTAATCCTACCCCTTTTTTTCTCAGACTCTACCAATGAGAGGAAGTAGCAATATATTCTGGCCATTTGTTTAAGGTATATAAAGTCCTTAGGATAGGACCCACGCTTATGGGATGTCATCTCCCAGATGGCATCTCCACTGGGTGGTGGTTTCATTGCTCGGTTGGGTTGGCAGCCTTTTGTTGGTAGTTATGTGATAAGACCAGTGGCCTTCCAAGGCCATAATGCTGATGAACGCACTGTCTTTGACCTGCAGTGAATCCCTTTATCTGAGGTATGTCATGAGGGGCTCCATATTTATAGACCAGACACTCCATGAACTCTTGAAAAGTAGTGCTGGCAGGCTGTGGTCCTGGGTGGAAAGAAAGGCAAATCATAGCCAAAATATATCTCAATCCCTGTCATAGTGAATTGTTGCCCTTTCCAGGAAAGAAAGGGCCTGGTGCCCCCAACTGGTCTCCAAGTGGCTGGTTTGGTCTCCTTGAGGGCAGGGTACCCTGTGAGATTTCCTTTGCAGGCAGGTCAGACATACTTTCCTAGTCGCCTTGGTGAGGCACCCACACTGGGGGGCCAGGTTAGTCTACATCTCTCTCATCATGGCTACTCCTTTTGTGAGCCCACAGCACAGCACTGGAGTGGTTAAGACCAGTGTCTGGCTGACATCTACTGGTTGAGACATCCTACGCACTTTTGGTTGGTTAGTGTATCCTATGTAGTGCTCGTTGCCCTCCCTGTGCCCCCCAGCCCCGCCCCGCACTACAATTGAGTATTGCTCTGGAGGGCAAATGGGGAAAGGATCAGAGGAGAGCGTCTTGACCCTCCTGCAATAACTGTTGTTCCCTTTCACAGATCTGCACCACAATGGACACTTTGGCAAGACTCTTCCCAATCTTTTCTGTGAAGTTCATGTAGGGTTCATGGGACAGAGCTTGCAGGAGGATATAGACTTCCCCTTTTCTACTGAACCCTGTCCTTCACACTGTCCTTGGAGCCTATCCCTGGCCTTCACTAATTCTTCAATTATTCTACCTAATCTATTCAGATTGTGTCTCCCGCATAAGGGAGGGCTTATGTCTCCTTTCTCCTTGTAAGCACCTGTCTCTCCTCAGATTTGAGGCCCGATTTTTGCTCTGTGAATCAGCTCTTTGATGAGTTTTTTAAAAGTCATGAATTTGAATGTAGTTGTTTGTTTGTGTTTTTTTTTTTTTTTTAAGAGTGGGAGCAATACTTTTCCAGTTTATTATACATCCCAAGATGGAAGTCGAAGTTCTCCACTTCTGAGTTTTTAAATTTTGATGATATCCTCATCAGTGTATTTTTTTCAACTTATTAGATGAAATATCCTCTGGGCTCACCCAAGGCACATTAATCAATTGGTGGGTGTTCTGGTTTTATTTATTAGATTAGCATACCTATGTCTTGAGCCTCTGTATCTTTTTCCTTCCCAATCTGCTTTGCTATTCTGGAATTTTCTAAGCTTCTGAGAAATCTTGGCAGAGTGTTGAGACTGACCTCTCAACCATTGCCAGTGTGTAAAACCTTGCATTGTAGGATATATACATATCCTACATAAGATATATATATATGTAAGATATATATATCTTTCCTTTTTTTCTATCCAACACTTAGGCATACTCTTCCAGATTTTGTAGCTCTTTTAGTGTACAATCTCTTCTCTCCCTCAGCAGGCCCAACACTTCAGTCAAGCCACTGGAAAACTCAACCAGCATTAGTGATTGAGTATACAGGAAGGGATTGGGGTGGATTTTGAGGAGGAAAAGCCTTGTTCTGAAAGATATCTAAGTCAGAGTTTTCTAACAAAGAGGAATGGGTCACTCTATAGTCCCAGTGAGTTCAGGGAAATTTGGGACTCAAGCTTCTAGAGTTCTTCTATTCAGATAGTCTCATCTCAAGTCTCTGAGTCCTCCTTCCCTATCAAGGCCCTGAATATGGGATGGATTCTTCCCAGTGCTGAGAATTCAAACTTCCTGAGTTCTACTCTCCTTACAATTAGTTCAAGACCATGATTTTCACCTCAGTTTGCCCTCTCGAAGTAGAAGATGAGGTGTTGAGGTGCTATCAGAAAAGTCTTAGGACTTTCACCCTTTGCTTTGAATTGGTGATTGATTGCCCTGATCCTGTAATACTCTCTCTTTAAAGCATGATTGGCACTCAGCAACAGCTACCCAGACCTCATAATCCTATTTCCTCTGTACCTCTTAACTGTGAGAGATACTGCACAAGCCAGTCATTCCTATCCTGTGCCATCACAGGAAACATGAGTATTTTAGCCCCTGGAGTGCTACAACATGCAAGGTTCTGTCAGTACTCTCCCTACAATTAATGATGTCAGTGGTGCGGTCCTCAATGTCAACCAGCCAGCCAGCAAGTAATCCAAATCCACAATCCCATCCACAAATGTCTGCTTCCTTGGTCACTTTTAGTAGTAACTCTTAGGTCAGGTGCCCTAGAAACAGAGCTTGTGACAGGGATTTGAGTGCACATGATTTATTGAGGGGATCTCAGGAAAAAAGAAATGGGGGAAACAGAAGAGAGCAGAGGAAGAAGTTAAGTAAATATGTGGTCTCAATTGGATTCTAGCCTCACCCTGGTCTCTTGAGGAACATGAAGTACATCAGAGCTGGTCCAACCCTGAAGCAAGGGAGTCAGCTTTTTGTACTTTTGTGTCAGTTGGTCAGAGAGGAGATTGTCTCCTTCCTCCTCCAGTGTGGGAGCTCCTATTTAGCCAATAATGCTAGAAGTACCTCTCCTGAGAAGGAACAGCTTCTTTCTTTCTTTCCACACTCACCATGGAGTCTGCTTGAGAGTCTCTCTCTCCCACTCTCTCTGCCCCTCCTCTGGCTCTCTCCCTCTCTGAAATTAAACTAAATTAAATTAAAGTAAAGTAAAGTAAATTAAAACGTATATGAGTGCTCACATTACTATTAGATATTTGAATGTTCTAATCTTAAAAGTTAATATATTTAAGTGAGACATAGCCTAATTGTACACTTGGTCATTTGAAAAAAACTCTTTGTAAACTGTGCTAAACAACTGACATACAATGGGATTAAACATTAATAATTTACCCTATCTATACAATATAAAATAAAAAAAATTTTTTTAAACCTCAAACTGTCATGTTTTGAAAGATTGAATTTCAGATGAGATATTTATGCAGATACCACAACATTTAAAAAGAAATTCTCTGCATTTTTTTTTCTAGCTCAGAGGCTTGTTGTATACTTGCAACATGGTTTATTTACATCTGCCAGCAGCTGGATTTCAAATCTTCCCAACAACAGCCTGGGCTTCATTCTAGCAGATGCTGGTTATGACGTATGGATGGGGAACAGCAGAGGTACTACCTGGTCCAGGAAACACACGTACCTCAAAACAAATTCCAAAGAATTCTGGGCCTTCAGGTACAAATAACATCAAGTAATGTTTCATTTTATTTTATAAGTGTGTCAAATATTTTGTTTTGTGTTTGAATGAAATAAAGTAGAACAGAAGTATCTTTTCTCAATCAGGTCTTTTAACAGACCATAACAATTTGTGTCAATTTTTGCTTGAAAATTAAAGAGTGATTGATCTTAAGCATGTTTCTTGTTTTTCAGTAATAACCTTTATTGGCTAACCCCACCCTTCCTTTAACCATTGTTTTATTCCATAACCTATATTAGTTTATCTCCCTGTATGTAGAATAATCAAACAGCATCTTTTTAAGACTATCATGGGACTATTTTAGTTTCTTGACTTTGTGTTCTCACATAAGTCTTTATTCAGTAGATACATTATGCCATGTAACTTCCTTTTTTTTAAGATTTATTTATTTATTTGAGAGAGAGTACGACTGTGGGGAGAGGCAGAGGGAGAGGGAGAGAGAAGCTCAAGCAGACTCCACGCTGAGTGCAGAGCCTGATGAGGGCTCGATCTCACAACCGTGAGACCACGACCTGAGCCGAAATCAAGAGTCAAGATGCTTAACCAACTGAGCCACCCAGGCGCCTCATAACTTCTTGATAATACGTAAAGAGAGTTGAAAATTGTTTCATGCACTTACTTATTCATCATCTTCAAGTGTTAGCATCACATTAGAAGCAAGGGGATTTCAACTTCCCTTTTTCTTTTGTAGTTTTGATGAGATGGCAAAATACGACCTCCCAGCCTCCATTGACTTCATTGTGAAGCACACGGGACAAGAGGAAATATTTTATATAGGTCATTCCCAGGGCACCACTATTGGTATGGCAAGAAAGATTGTCGCTATAGTCCACAATGACTGTTGTAGAGTTTGCAGACACACCTCCTAAGGACATGGGCAAGCTCCCCAAGCTACAAGTGACACAAAGCAGAGCTCTGAGAGGAGCGTCCAACAGCTGGGTCTGGGAAGCTTACCCCCTCCTTACTTCTACCTTATCTTCTTCAGTCACAAAGAACTCATTGTAATAACAGGTTGTTGGCAGTTGTCTTTGTTTCTAAGTGTTCAGAAGTTGGATATCCATCTTGGGATCAAAGTGAAATCATAACTACAACTTGTTCCACAAATAGAAATTTCATACTTATTATTATGGTCATTTAAGTGTGGCATAGGGCCTCATGAGGGAGAGACATGAGAAGGCCATTTATGTTATGCATTTAGGACAGATTAAACTTTAGACCTACATGAAGATGAGCAAAGTCTTCATATGTTTAAAGAGACTAGAAAAGAACTTCTGTCAGCTCACAACAATGCTTCTATCTAATGCGTGACAACTTCACTTTCAGAAAAGAAAAAAATTCTCTAAAACCCAACGTAATTCTCTTACATGGTGCGGTAAACCTTCTTACTCCCACTCTCTCTACTGTGGAAGTTACAAAGACTATTTTATAATAGCAGCCAGTATTCACTGAGTCTTTTCTAGGCTGAAAATGATCATTTTCTTATAGGAATAATACACTTCCTGCTTTAAAAAAAAATTTGTTGAATAACAGTCTAATCCAATTTTCCATAGATTTTTTTCTCTGACATTTATTAACCATGTGTGTGACTTGGAGTCTGGATTCTCCAGCTGTTCAGTTATTTGGAACCAGGAATCTTGGAAAATTATTAAATAAAAAAAAAGTGGGTTATGTGCTAGAGTTTACTGACTCATAATATGTTATATGATTCTTTGGTTGTTTGCCTTCTTAGAACTCAGAAAACAGAAAAGCTATAAAAATAGAGATGTGCAAGAATGTAGCTTGATAAGATGTCACAAAGGGGAAAACTATTTGTCACATTAATAACTCTAAACTAACAATAAAATATAAACTAGTGTTTGGTTATCTTCTGTACAAGAAGGCAAGGATATTTTGAAATATATTAAAAGTAAATATTGAAATAATTTGACATGTATTGAATCTCTCACCTAAAGTGTAAGATTCAAATATCAGAAAAGCTCACTAACTTATTTTCAGCATTGCCAGTTATAGAAATGTTCAGTATTGTTTCTGATTTCTCAACTGTGGGGTTATAAGACTCTTTTAGTGTTGATTTATCATTATTTATGGCCTAGACATTGTTTTTAATACTAATCATCAGTATGCTATTGTGATCAATATGCATGTCTCATACTGGGTGACCGATAAATGTTTGATAAGGGAATTAAGAAATGAATGAGTCAATTAAGTGGTCATAGCATACTGAATTTACTCTTACTTGTCATGATGTCATTTCTTACATGCTACTAATTGTGTAAGAATAGTTCATTTCTGTCTTATTTTCTTTCAGCTTTCATAACGTTTTCCACAATACCAAAGATAGCTGAAAGAATCAAAATATTTTTTGCCTTAGCTCCAGTTTTTTCTATTAAATACTCAAAGAGCCCTTTAATTAAAAGGGCATACAAATGGAAGTCAGTGATAAAGGTATGTTATTCCTTTCCTTTACGTAGTTGATAATCCAAAATGACAATGTTTCTGTCCTTTCAAAATAAAAAGTCTTGACTATGTTTGTATGAATTTTATTTTCTGGTTTCAGTGACACTGGATTCTTTCGTTTTTACAAAGGAATAAGATTTTACTTATAATACCTTTGGACATCTCTTTGTGGAGGAAAATCCAGTAGTCAACTTACTTCTATCTCCTGCTTCCAAGTTTTGTCCTTAATATAAATTTTTTTAAGACTTTATTTAATTATTTATTTTAAAGAGAGAGAATGCAGGAGCGAGGTGGGGAGGGGCAGGGAGAGGGACAAGCAGACTGCTCTGAGTGTGGAGCCCAGCACAGGACTCCATCTCACAACCCTGGGATCATGACCTGAGCCAAAATCAAGAGTCAGCCACCTAACCGACTGAGCCACCTAGGAACCCCTCTAATTTAAATGTTTTAAACTAATGTGAGACAGTGCATTTGATTATAAATATAATGAGCTCATTGCACCATTTCTTGATTAATTATTTTGGTCTTTCAAATATGAATAAAGTAAATTTGTTTTACAGGCTTTTTTTGGCAACAAAGACTTCCTACCTAATACCTCATTTAAAAGATTTGTTGGTTCAAAGCTGTGTACACTGAAGACTATTGGTAAGATTTGCCGTGATATCTTGTTTATGATATATGGATGTGACCTGGAGAACTTAAATATGGTGAGAACAAGTTGAATTTGAAATGTATTTTGTCAATTTTTAGAAAGCAGCTCTTAATAGCACTTATTTTATGCCTTGTATGTCATTTTATGATTTATCCACATATACTAATAGTTAGATTCTTAGCCTTTCTGGTTTTAGAACTATACCAACATTCTGAAACTAATCAGCATGAACATGCAGGGATTATTTTGCAGTCAAATTTGTCTTGCCTCTGTAAAGAACAGAGAGCAGGTGCTGTGCTGGGTCTTTTTATTGGCCTTTACTATTGGGTGTTAGTTTCCTGAAGTTTCTTGTATTTAAGTTGTCTTTTATCACTTGTTTTTCACAACTCCTGCTCTTATATCTTGGTTCCTAACACTCCTTCCCTTTCTTGTTGACCCTTTTGTAATTAGCATTAGTGCCTGTGAAATATCTTACATGCTTCTGGCATTCATCAAAATTCCTGGAGTGGGAAACTGTTTAAGGGCTCAAGCTACTATTACCAATCCCATATGGATTGATTGTACATAGATGTTGTTACAGATGTAGGCATTCATTCTAAGACTTTTTAAGCACATTAAATTAAAAATCCAGATTGGGCAAAAGCAGCTGTGGCATTTGGACTACTGGTTGTTTCCTGTACCTGTACCATTTAATAATTTCCCAGCAAGAATCAATTTACTCATTCAGAGAAAGAGAAGTTGTCAAGATGTCCATTCTTACCAACTTAGTCCATAGATTCAATGCAATCCTAATCAAAATCCCAGCAAGCTATTTTAAGGATATTGACAAATGACTTCTAACATTTATGGAGAGAAGCAAAACCCAGAGTAACCAACACAGGATTGAGGGGAAAGAGCAAAGTTGGAGGATTGGTACTATTGAACTTCAAGACTTAGTATTAAACTACAGTAATCTGGACAGTGTGGGATTAGTGAAAGAAGAAACAAGAAGATCAGTGCAACAAGACAGAGAGCCCAGAAATAGAGCCCTATAAATATCAACAACAGATCTTTGACAAAGGAGAAAAGGCAGTGCAATAGAAAAACAATAGTCTCTTCAACAAATGGTGTTGGGACAACTGGACATCCACATGCAAAAAAAGTGAATCCAGACACAAACTTTATACCCTTCACAAAATTAACTAAAATTTGGATCAAAGACCTAAATGTGAAATGTGAAACTATAGAAATTCTAGAAGATAACATAGTGAAAAACCTAGATGACCTTGGGTGTGGCAAGGACCACCAGAGTGGTACATTTGTTACAACTGATGAACCTACATCAACACATCATAAGTACCCTAAATCCATAGTTTATGGTATGGTTCACTCTGGTGTTCTACATTCTGTGGGTTTTAACAAATGTATAATGACATGGATCTACAATCATAGTATCATAGAGGATATTTTCACTGCCCTAAAAATCCTCTGTGCTTTGTGTGTTCTTTCTTCCCCACTTAAGTCCTGGCAACCACTGATACCACTAATCTTTTTACTGTCTCCCACAGTTTTGCCTTTTCCAGAATGTCATGTAGTTGGAATCACACAGTTTGCAACCCTTTCAGATTGCCTTCTTCCATTTACTAGCATACATTTAAGGTTCTTCCATATCTTTTCCTGGGTTGGTAGCTTATTGATTTTTAGTGCTGAAAAATATTCAATTGTCTGGATGTACCATATCTATCCACCTACTAAAGGACATTTTGGTTCAAGTTTTGACAATTATGAATAAAGATGCTATAAACATCAATGTGCAGAGTTTGCATGAACATGAGTTTTCAACTCCTTTGGATAAATACCAAGGAATGTGATTGCTGGATTGTATGATAAGGATACATTGTGTTTTATAAGAGACCACCAAACTGTTTTCCAAAGTGGTTGTAATACTTTGCATTCCTACCAGCAGTGAATGAGAATTCCTGTGGCTCCACATCCTAACCAGCACTTGGTGCTGTCAACGTTTGGGACTTTTGTCATTTTCATAGTTGTGTAGTGCTATCTCATTGTTCTTTTAAGTTGCATTTCCCTGATGACATATGATGCAGAGCATCTTTTCATGGTCATTTGCTATCTCTATATCTGTTCGGTGAGGTGTCTGTTAAGGTCTTTGGCCCATTTTTAAATCAGGTTATTTATTTTCTCATTGTTGAGTTTGAAGGGTTCATTGTACATTTTGGGTAACAGTCCTTCATAGATATGTCTTTTGCAAATATTTTCTTCCAGGCTGTAGCTTGTCTTCTAATTCTCTTGATACTGTCTTTTGCAAAGTGGACATTTTTAACTTTGATGAAGTCCAGCTTGTCAGTTATTTCTTTCATAGATTGTGCCTTTGGTGTTTTATCTAAAAAGTCATCACTAGACCCAAAGTCAACTAGATTTTCTCTGCTATGTTATCTTCTAGGAGTTTCATAGTTTTGAGTTTGACATTTAGGTCTGTGTTCTATTTTCAGTTAACTCTTGTGAAGGGTGTGGGGTCTGTGTCTCAACTCTTTTTTTTTTTCTTTTCCACGTGGTTGTCTAGTTGTTCCAGCATCATTTGTTGAAGATACCAGTGTTTCTCTGCTGTATTGCCTTTTCTCCTTTGTCAAAGATCTGTTGACTATATTTATAGGGGTCTGTTTGGGGGCCCTCTGTTCCATTCTATGGATCTGTTTGTCTATTCTTTCACCAATACCACACTGTCTTGATTACAGATTAGGTTTACAGTACATCTTGAAGTTGTGTGTGTCAGTCCTCCAACTTTGTTCTTCCCTTACAATATTGTGTTGGCTGTCCTGGGTCTTCTGCCTCTCCATCTGAGAAGCAGTCTGTTGATATCCTTAAGATAACTTGCTGAGATTTTGATAGGATAACATTGACATTATATGTCTTGTTCACTGATTGAGGTTCCCAGGGACCATGTAGGCAGTACAAACCTAGATGACAGATTGACTTGAATGCTGTTCTGTTTCTGATTGCTTCCTTGGGAGTTGTGTAGAATTTCAGGAGCCCAGTTAATCATGGAAAGGGTTTCTTTTTAAAGTCTCCTAACTGCCCTTGGCAGGTTCTGGACTGATTTTTTTTTCCTGAACTAGCTGAGTTCTCACAATGAAACTTCAGATTCTCTGGGATTGGCAAGTAACTTGAAGGAAAACTGTCTTTAGTACTTTGCTTTTTTGAGGGTTTTTTGTTTTTTCTTTTCCATTTTTCCTGGTAATTTCTTTCAATCTTTTCAGTTCTTTAGTGCGTAAAAGGGGTGTGTGTGTGTGAGTCCTAAGAGTTTTGATTGTTTTCAGTATGGGATGACAGACTACATAACTTGGAAATCCAATAATAGCTTCTACATTAATGCAAAAATTACACATTTAGTAAGTACATTTGTGTCCTTAATTAAAATATAATTTTATCTTTTTATTTATATTACTTAAAAATAACTTTAAATTTAATTGAAATTATTTAGTGTGGTAAATATCAAAGATTATGCTTTCTCCAATTGAACTAGATATAAAAATAATTTTTTAACCCCTCAGAGTCGTGTGGATGTGTATATGTCACATAATCCAGCAGGGACATCTGTTCAAAATATGTTACACTGGAGTCAGGTACAACTTTTCAAGTGCATTTTAGTACAATTTTATTTATACCACTCATGGTTTATCCCATCATTCTGGGAATCATGCCATTGCCATAGGATGATAAATTTAGAAGGATAAAATGTAACAATTACATATTTGTGTAATTATGTATAGTTTTTAATAATGTTAATATCATAACCTACTAGATCTTCTAACCCTAAGCAATGATCAGAGCAATATAATTATTTTGTTTTACAAATGAGAAAATATGAATTCGGAATAGTAGACTAGCAATCATTGAGGCCATGTTCATCACTTGACTTGCCCAAAGAGTCAGAGCTATTCCTTTAAAAAAACCCTAAGACTAAAAAATAATAATAATAATAAAAAATAAAAAAGTCCTAAGACTAGAACACAGGTGTCCTAATGCCTAGTCTCTCACTAGACTACACTCTCTTCTCTGTTCAATTGTGAACTCCATGAGGACCATGAGCAAGTTTTATTCACTTCTACATTTGCAAGGCCAAGAGCTCTGGGCAAATAGCAGATACTCAAGAATATTTATTGCATGAATATTAATGAAGAAAAAAATCCAGTGTGAATATCATCTTAATGTTGAGAGCCAGGATAATTATCTTAGAAAGAACAGTATACTTGAGATGAAAGTATCAGACACTGAATCCTTTCTCTGAACCTTACTGACAGTGAGACACTGAGCAAGCTCATTTAATCTTTATGAAGTCAGTTTCCTTACTTTTAAAAATGGAGTTAATACTAATGCTTTGACTTAACAAAAATATTATGAGAGTTCAACAGGGTGATGATTATGAGTGTTATTTAAACTTAACAAACACTAATGAATTTACAGTATCATTGAGATATTGATAAGAGCTTTCTCATTTAAAAATGTTTAAATCTACTAAGTGGTTGTTTTCAGGTAAATTATTAAAAATCTTTAACTTATGTTTAGATTTAGTTCATTCCCGGTGATAGGCCAGGAAAATCTAAGCAACCTTTGCATCTATTCATCCATTGAAACAATATTTATTGAGTACCTACTATGTGCTCTGTACTGTTTTATGCTCAGGGTATATATCATTGGACAAAATAAATATTCCTGTCCTCTTTAAGCTTACATTCTAGTGGTAGATATACAGACAGTAAACATTAAGCATAGCAAATAAGTAAATTATTAAAACTTTAGAAGGGGATAGAAGCTATGGAAAAATAAAGGAGAAAAGGCAAGATAAAGAGATTAGGCATACTGGGTAGTGGGTTGTGTTTTTGAATAGAGAGGTTAGGCCAGCCTCAATGAGATGGTGATGTTCGAGAAAAGATTTAAAAGAGCCGAGAAAGTTAGCAATGTGAACAACCTGGAGGAAGAACATTCCAGACAGAGAGAATAGCCAATGCAAAGCCTTTAGTCAGGAGCATTTCTGAGAGGCATGGCTGAAAGGTCAGTGAGGGTGATGTCAGTGATTAAGGGAGAAAGGAGTAGGGAAAAGGGGGCAGAAATGTACTAGACCCAGAAAGGGACAAGAACATCATTGTGAGGACTTTGGTTTTCTGGCTGAAGTGAGTAGCCTCTGCAGGTTTTTGAGCAGGGAGGGGACATGATATGACTTACATTTTTAAAGGAATACTTAGGGGATGCCTCACTGGCTCATTCAGCAGAGCATGTGACTCTTGATCTCAGGGTCGTGAGTTCAAGCACCACACTGGGGTAGAGTTTACTTGGAAAAAAAAAAAAAGGAATGCTTCGGGTGCCATGTTGAGTAGACTGAAGTGGAAACAATGATAAATTAAGGAGCTTACTACCATAATCCAAACAAGAATGATGATGGCCTGCATGGGATGTGTTCCCAGGAAGGGTGGTGAAGAGGGTTTGGTTCTGAGTATACATGTGTATTGTAAACATGCAGCCATGGACATTTAATGATGGATTCTGAGAGAGGAGAGAGAAGAGTGTCTTGGATGACTCCAGACGTTCTGGCCTAAGCAAGGAAAAGATGCAATTGCCATTAAAGGAGATCGGGACGTTTGGTGGTGGTGTAGGTTTGAGGGACAAATAAGATGTTCAGTTCTGGAGATGTTAAGTGTGAGACATCCCAGTGATTAATTTGAATAAGCAGTTGTGTATAGGAGTCTAGTATTTAGAAGAGACTTACAGAAGATAAACATTTTAAATATGGATGCCACTGAAAGCCAAGAGACTGGATGAGAACACACAGAGTGAGTACAGATGGGGAGAAGAGGAGCAAGGGTGGTGGGATGAGACATAGAAAGATTCAGAGGTCAGGCAGCAGCAGCTGGATGAATATAGCAAGGAGACCAAAAACGAGCAGGGAGTGAAAAATGAAGATCAGGAAATGACAGTGTTCCAGAAACTAAGTGAAGAAAAGCTCTCGAGGATAGAAATGGACACCTAGGTCAAGTGCTGCTCATAGGTAATGTGAGGAAATTCCTCAGAATTAACGAGTTTTACAAATGTTAAAGTCATAAATAACCTCAGCTAGTTTTTTTTTTTTAACTTTTTTTTTTTTAGATTTTATTTATTTATTTGAGAGACAGAGAAAGAGAGAGAGCACGAGAGGGAAGAGGGTCAGAGGGAGAAGCAGACTCCCTGCTCAGCAGGGAGCCTGATGTGGGACTCGATCCTGGGACTCCAGGATCATGACCTGAGCCGAAGGCAGTTGCTTAACCAACTGAGCCACCCAGGCGCCCAACCTCAGCTAGTTTTGTGGCAGGAAAGAGCTGTAGGAGAAGAAGCATTCTTGGGGAAAATCAGGTTGTCCAGAGAGCAGGAAGGTAAAGGAGCCCATCAGAGATGGGTTTTAAGATACAGGCTAATGATGGAATTCCAGATGGTAGAAAGAATTTTAGGAGTTGGGGGGAGATGGGAGGAGATAAAATGGGGGGGGGTGCATGGAGACCTGTCAGATTTAGAGTCTCAGAGAAGGTGGGTAAACTGAGAGTCTGAACCTTCCTGCAATGAAAATGTTATTAGGGGAAAAATGAACGCAATCAGATTAGACCTAATAGGCTCACCGCAGTTAGTGGTGGTGAGGCTACAAGTATGGTAGGTGAAGCAAGGGATTGCTTCTGGATCATGCTCTTCAGTGCTGTTATTTGAAGCAAAGGTGTTTAGGAAGTGTCATTTCAGTCCTAAAGCACTTAGTCCTAGAAACTTTTTGTTGTTGTTGTTTAAGATTTATTTATTTATTTTAGAGAGAAAGAGAGAGAGCATGAGCACAGGGAGGGGCAGAGGGAGAGGAAGAGAGAGAATCTTCAAGCAGACTCCCTGCTGAGTGCAGATCCCAAGGCAGGGCTCAATCCCACAACCCTGAGATCAGGATCTGAGCTGAAACCAAGAGTCAGATGCTCAACCAACTGAGCCACCCAGGCGCCTGTAGACAATTTTGACCTCTGTGGATGAAGCTGAGGATTTCTGGGGACGGCTGATGTTGCCCCAAGCACACAGGCTCCTTTTAACAAGGTAAAAGGCCTTGGGGAAATGTGCATTTATATGAAGATGACAGAATCACATTCCGTAGATTCCCCTGCCCCCCACCACCTCCTCCCTCTTCCATTTCTTGCCCTATGCAAAGTAAGGGAGAAGCAAGGAAGTCTCCCTGCACATATACCCACAGGCCCAATACAAAGGGGCAGGCAGTACATGAAATGCACACCTCACATTACCAGCTGTGCTGTAGCAAACAGATGAGCATAATCTTGCTTTTAAATTTTTTCTTTCAGCTTTTTAATTCTAGCCAATTGAGAGCTTTTGACTGGGGCAGTCCTGTTCTGAACTTGGCTCATTTTAATCAGGTACATAATTATGTATAAGCTGAAAACTATCTCCTTGATCTGTTCAGATGATGTTGCTACAGAAAAAGGCTCATGTAAAGCCCGAGAGTATAATAACAGAGTGAGAAGGACCAGCAGATGAAGATCGCCATGATTTGGCTCCATATTTTCACATCCAACCCAAGGGGCTTTTCCAGGTTTTCTACGTATTTTCCAGGTTTTCTACTTATTTTAACAACAAATACCTTGGATAAGCCTGGAGAAGTTTGACAGGCTGTAGAGTAATTCATCCTCCCTCAAGAGGAAAAATATTGTGTTTATAATATGCGTAGCTCTGTGGTTAGTTAAATAAGAAATAAGAGCCATAATATGGTTCTTGACCCTCAAAAGCTATTGACTGTATTTGGGAAGATAAGACAAACCCTCATTCCACATAATAGAATTTTCCTCGTTCCACATAATGAGGAAAAGATAAAAGTTAATGAGAAGGTGGTAATAATTGTATGAGGAAGATGACAGAAATCTTGAAGTATTAGAACCCAAGTCTGTCGTCTTCAAAGTTATTCTTTTACACCATCCTTTTCTGCCTTAGCTAAACTTCATGCCTAATGTGGTTAGCTTATGTAAAACTCCAAAGTAGAATAGAAAGATCAAAATCAATAAAATCAGATTTGGCTTCAATTGCCAATGTTTACCATTTATTGATGAACATATTGGCAGTTATACAGCCATGGAAAATTTTGATTGAAATACTTTCATGCCTTATAAATAAAACTGAAATTCCTTCTGAGGAATGTTTGAATACCCTGAATTAGAGCAAACGGTCTAGTTTTGATTTGTATCTGATCTAAGTAAAAATCATAATAATGATTCTTTCAATGTTCTTGCTTTTATAGTAGTAATTATTTTAGATTCAGCTTATTTTAAAATTGCATTAATTCATCATTTAAAGAAAAGTAAATAACACCTTCTATGTATCATTTTCCGTGAAAACCCTCTACATTTAGTCCACTTCTCCATTTTACGATGTGAGGAACATGAACGTATCAACAGCAACTTGGAATGGGGGCAATGACTTGTTGGCCGATCCTGAAGATGTGAAAAATCTACTTCCTGAAATTACAAACCACATATACCATAAAACTGTTTCTTACTACAATCATATAGACTTTTTGTTTGGATTAGATGTATATCAGCAAGTTTACCGTGAAATCATTGACATTATCCAAGGCAATCTATAAAGAACTATGGTACTCTGTGTTGAAGGATCTATATCATTTCTCTTAAAATCCAATCACTTTTGTCTTGCTATGCATGTTTTTCCAGTTATTTAAATAAAATCTGGAATTTTTCCCTATTTTTTTCACTGCCCCAGGCCTTCCATTCATTAAATCAGTGGCATTTATTATATGAGGGAAATGGCAGATTCTAACTCAGCCCAAAGTAGTCTGTTGGGTGTCTACATGCAACATAAGTAACTAAAAGCATAATTTTAAAAGGATGACTTTTTGAAAAGGTGCTTTCTTTACTTCAAAGAAATATGAGTATATATGATATTAAAAGAGTTTGGGAGAATGCTTGCTGATACGAAAGCTAATTTTTGTCTATGCTGAATAAAGAGTAGAAACACTGTTGTGCTATGCAAAGGGGTTTGGGGGAGGAAAAAGGGAAGAAGGAGAGTTTGGATGCCAGTGTAGTATTTCCGCTTCTGCCCCACTTGCGGCCAAGCTTCAGAAGTAGGGAGCTCGTAAAAGCCATAAAGGGTTTGTGCCTCACTTCCCAGCCTGTATAGCCTACCTTTCCAGCAAATATGTTTAAAGAGTAGCAATGGTTGTTGGGGCGCCTGGGTGGCTCAGTCGGTTAAGCATCCGCCTTCAGCTCAGGTCATGATCCCAGGGACCTGGGATGGATGGGCATCAACAGGCGGTACAGGGCACATCACATACAAGGACTTAGACAATAGTCCTTCCGACTCTGCAATAATGCATAACATCACGGGCTTTTCTTAGTCCCTGGGGACAACAAGGTGAAAAGGGAGAGTTCTAGAATTGAGTGTAAATTTACCACATAAAGACTGGGGGGAAAATCTATAATTTCTTGAATTGGGAAATTGAGTTTCCTGCCCCAAGCAAAATGGAGCTTGGAAGCCAAGCCAAGTCCGGTTCACTCTGAGGTGGCTAACTCTGTGCTCCACACATGCTTATGGGCTTTAAAAAGTGTTCCACAAAAAATAACAGAATATGCATAGATAGTGAGAAAAAAGAAAATCTATGCATAGGTTACTGGAATGCAGCTAAGAGAAGACACATGACTTTAAAGGCCACAGTTCAGACTACAGGTCAGTCCTTCCTTTCTTTGGTAACCCTTGGTACCAAAAAAGTAGAGCACTGAGAATAGATACACACTTAGAGATACCTTTTTAAAGAGTTCAGGAATGTGTATATAACATAAGTATTGCTTCAAAGTTTTCGAATGATCCTTCAAAAAAGACAAATGCAGAGGGTAACTATGCAGAAGAATTACTCATGCTGAGATTTAAAAAATAAGTTGGAGGTTTCTGGTAATGGTGGACTGAGTAATTCAGACCTGGGACAATGTGAAAAGCATTTATTTGAAGACAAGGAGAGCTAAAAATGCAGGGAAGAATTACAGGGTCAAGAAAAAGAAGTCCAGGAAAGTAAGCCTAGCATTTTAGCTGTTTATATCCTAGCAACACCTGCTTTGTCCAGGTGTATAATTAAAATCCTGCAAACAATTAGTTGAGAATAAAAATTGTAATTCAGCTTACCAAAGGGAAGTTTCTCTGATAAACCTTGATTTCGGGCTTTGGATTGGAACCTCAAAGTACTATACCCTAAGAATAAAGTCAAACTAGAAATTGATCACCCTTTCAGAAACCGTAGACCACCTTTGAATCATAAGAATTCTTTTTTTTATTTTTCTTTTTTTTAAGATTTTATTTATTTATTTGAGAGAGAGAGAATGAGAGAGAGCACATGAGAGGGGGGAGGGTCAGAGGGAGAAGCAGACTCCCTGCCGAGCAGGGAGCCCGATGCGGGATTCGATCCCGGGACTCCAGGATCATGACCTGAGCCGAAGGCAGTCGCTTAACCAACTGAGCCACCCAGGTGCCCGAATCATAAGAATTCTTAACGTACAAAGATAATTTGGGAATACTGATGCCCTAGCCATCTGTCAGAAGCAAAAGTAAGGCTTCTCTAAAGGAAGATCAAGTCATCTAGGATGCTAGAGATAATGCTAAAATTTTGCAATGTTTTAAGGTAGGTCAGGATACAAAAATAAGTTGTGTATTTATATACTAGTGTCAAATGATTGCAAAATGATATTTTAAATATACCATTTACAATATTACACACAGTTATAATACTTAGGAATAGAGATAAACAAATATACTCAAGTTGAAAGACAATATTATTAAGATATCCGCTCTTCAAATTTATCTGTATATTCAAAGAATTGCTATAAAAATTCAGCTAGGCTTTTTTTTTTTTTCTGAAAATGGTTATAATGATTCTAAACTTTTTGCAGAATTATAATTAATCTAGAATTGCCAAAGTAATTTTGAAACATGTTGGAGGATTTGCACTACAAAATTGCAAGACTTAAATCACAAGCTGCATTAATTAAGACAGTGTGGTATTAGTATAAAAAGACGTCTAGATCCTTGGAACAATACAGAGTTCAGAGATAGACTACACATATGTAGTCAGTTGGTCTTCAATGGGTAAAAGATTGTGTTTTCAAAAGTGGATATGATTACAGAAGAAAAGATGAACTTTGACCTCTACATTACATCACACATAAAATTTAATTTGTAACGAACATAGACCTAAATCTAAAACCCAAAACTCTAAAACTTCTAAAAGAAACAGAGGAGAAATTCTTTGCAACTTTGAGGTAGGCAAAAATATCTTAGATGAAACACAGCATGAGCAATTATAAAGAAAATTTTGATAATTATAATTAAAATCGTCTGCCTATCAAATGACACTTAAAAGAATGACAGACAAGCCACCACCTGAGAAAAAATATATACAAAAAATATATCTGACAAAAGCTGTTTATCTGAAACGCATAAAAATAACTCTCACAACTCAATAAGAAGAAAAGGAACCCAAGAAAATTTATGCAAAAGACCTAACAGATTCTTCACAAAAGATATAAGAATGGCTAATGAAACAGGCATAGGGAAAGGTGCTCAACATCATTAATCATAATGGAAATGAAAGTCAAAACCACAATGAGATATCACCTCATATCTGTTGGGATGACTATCATCAAAAGGTCAAAAGTTAGCAAGTGTTGGCAAGGATGGACAGAAAAGAGAACCTTATATCCATTGTTGGTGAGAATGTAAATTGGTAGGGTCACTATAGGAAGTATTATGGGGATTTCTGAAAAATTAAAAATAGAACTACCATATAATCCAATAACCTCACAACTGGCTATATATCCAAAGGAAAAAAAATCACTATATCAAAGAGATATCTGCCCTCCTATGTTCATTGCAGCATTATTCCCAGCGGTTGAGATATGAAAACAACCCATGTCTGTTGATGGATGGATGGATGGAGATCATCTATCTATCTAGATGTATATATAGATATATATGTTTATGTACTAGCATCATGTTTATGTATAATCATCATTATCTATAAAATAATTATATATGCATATAAAATTCAGCCTTAAAAAAGAAGGAAATCCTGCTATTTGCAAGGACATGGAAACATAGATGAACCTGGAGGACTTTATGTTAAATGAAATAAGTCAGACAGAGAAAGACAAATACTGTATTACCTCATTTATACGTAGAATCTAAAAAAGTAAAACATAGTAACAGAGAGTAGAATGGTGGCTACCACAGGTGGGAGATACGGGGAGATGTTGGTTAATGGATACAAAAGACCTAACGTACCTCATGGTGACTATAGTTTATAATATACTGTATTCTAGAAAGTTGCAAAGAAGGTGGATCTCAAGGGTTCTCACCACACATACAAAAGATAACTACATGAAGTGATAGTTATGTTACTTAGCTTGATTGTGGTCCTCATTTCACAATGTATACATATATCAAAAATCACAGTGTACACCTTAAATATACACAATTTTTGTCAGTCATACCTCAGTAAAGCTGTGGGAAAAAAAGAATGGCCAGTCAGTCTCTGAAAAGATTTTCAGCATCATTAGTCATCAAACACAAATTAAACAGTACAAGATATTTAATAGTCACTAGAATAACACATTAAAAGAAAGGTATTGCTAAGTATTGGGAAGATTGTAGAATAATTAGAACTCTTATACTTTGCAAAACAGCCTGATGATTTCTTATAAAAGTAAAAATAGACTTAACATGTAGCCCAGCCATTCCACTCTTAGGTATTTACTCAAGAGAAAAGAAAATGCCTGAATGTTGACAACCAGTCTATGAAAATCACGATGTTAAGAGTATAACAGGGAAGTGGGGAGCCATTTGATCATTTTAATAAATGGGAAGAAGTATTTAACAGGATTTAAAGTCTATTTATGATGATAACTCTTAAAGTAAGAATAAAGTTTCCTTAATGTCACAAAGAGTATTTAGAACAAAATCTACATCAAACATCATAGTTATTGATGAAGAATCAAAAGCTTTCCTGCCAAAACTGGGATGGACAATTATGTCCCATCACATATTCATGTCAACGTTGTAATATAGATCCTAGCCAGGACAATATGGCAAGCATAGGAAACAAAGGTGTGAAGGTTAGTAAAATGAAAAACGAACCTCCTTATTCTCAGTTGACATGACTGAATACATAAAAAATCGAAAGGGATTTACATATAAATCATTAGAATTAATCAGTGAGTTTAACAAAGTTGCTTTGACTTAAGATCAGTTTAAAAATATTATATTTATAGTGACCATTTATATGGAAGCAAAACTGACACTTCACCTCACCACTGTTGTCAATAAACATACACAGTACGTCTGATGACCAAAAAGGAAAAAAAAAAAAAAAGGCTTTGTACCCTGAGATAAGCAAAAAAGAATTGGGTTGCTCTATCTCAGAGTAGTTCTCAAAATAAATGTAACCTGGAGTTTCTCTCATAAATTGTTGACTCTTGATAAAAAAAAAAAAAAAAAACAACTTTACTACCATCTTATATAGTGCTGTTGTCTGAATAAATTTCACAATCTTTGTGGATAGGATAATTATATGAAAACACTGTTGTTTTTCAGCATGAATGAGCTAATATAACCAATACAACCTTTGTCATCTTGTGTGTTTCTCCTTATTTAAATACTTGTTATATTTCTTATTTAGTAAGCCA